CAAGAATTTAATTCTTTGGACTTTTAATTTGATTAGACCTTTCAAATGCAGTAGAAAATCTACAAAAACTTGATTCTCAGTTACAAGAGAACGAAATTGTTCAAAAGGTTTTCTATTAATCTTGAAACAACATTTGAGGTTTCTATTTTTTTTCAATCAATATATTTTTTTAATAAACATTTTAATAGGAATTCGACTTATTAAAAGATGATTCAAATATTTATAAACTCGTTGGCCCTGTGCTAGTAAAACAAGATAAAGCCGAAGCCACCGAAAATGTTAAAAGCCGATTGGAACATATTCGAGATGATATGTTTGTATTTTTTTTTGTCGATTGCTGTGATTTGAATTTGTATTGTCATATGCAAAGTAAATACGCGTATTGGGATTAATTCGAGAGAATACTATAGAATCATTTAGTATCATGCTTTTACTATATAATATCAATTACTCTATTTCAAAATATATATACAATTCACTTATACAAACCTTAAGTACCAAAATTCAAAGCCTCATTTATCTTTTTTTTAGTAAACGAGTGGAGAACCAAGTCAAGGATTTAACAGAAAAACTCGAAAAGAAGAAAATCGAGGCAAGTCTTTTGATCATTAATTGACTTATTGTCTGTTATAATTTATAAATCTTTTAAAAAATAATTAATAATGTACTTTTTTTACAGGTTGTTCAACTTCAAGCTTCTCTAACGCAACAAGCATCAACGTCATCATAAAACTCTTACAATATGAAATCGAAACAAATGTTACATGAATCTATATAATGAATAATGTTTCTCATTTAAACCGATTTCATCAACTAATAAAGAAGTGATAACACCCATTATTTATGCATTCCAATTCATCTATTTTGGTTTGGATTTGGGCGATAGATCCAAGTTTAGTTAATAATAAACTATAAAAGATAAAATTCAAAAGAATGTTCATCGTAAGAAAAGTTAAATGATAAGCGAACTTTGTACCATATTATATGCATTAACACATGCTAACAATGCTATGATGTTAACAATGTTAATAATGTTATATACCGTATAACCGCGAAATAACGCCCAGGTGTGTTATTTTGAATTTTGGCCCGAATTAAGCTTAATTTAGGCCAAAAGTTGAAATTACACCCCTGCGCGTTATTTCGCGGTTATACGATAATAATATTGTAAATCATTGTACATGATCAAAAGGTTCTTTTAATAATCGTTTTAAATTAAAACGAATAGTTAACATGAATTTTCTGACTTTATTTCAAGCATTTTTAAACATTCTATCAAATCTTGATCGTTATAAACACTTATAATTTCACGTGCTATGTACCCGGAAACGTAAACCCAATAAAATTCATTAACATCAACCTCCTTTGTAGATTTTCCATTACATCCAGTAATTCGTCGATACATTCTTTGATATATACTCTTCATTGATTCTGAAGCAACATTTGCTCTTTGTCGAATTAAAGCATCACAAAATTGTATACCAAAATTTTTAAAATCTAAAGAAGTTTGTATAGAAGAAAATAAATATTCTATAGTATCATTATTTGGTTCAAGATAATTTGGTAATCTATTAAACATCTCTAAAGTTGTCATTGGATTCGAAGATGAAATTTCTTTTAAAAATAAATTAAAAAATGTAATATCTAACGGTACATGATCAGTTCTTTGTGCTAAAATATTTCCAATATTTTGATCTACCGAATTTAATCTATTATTTGATGTTTCCAAATTAATTTTAGCATCATAAAATTCTATTAATCCTCTTATATCACCAACTTTTCCAA